AAAAAAAAAAAGAGTGCCTATGATAAACAGTCCTTCCTCAAGTTATAGGAACTACCAAATTTTCATGAAAAAATAAAGATAAAATGTGTATGCATTTTTGTTAAATGTGTACAAGGCCTTTATGTCAGGGTGTTTTTTAAACCTGAACATCATAATTGATTGATACATTTCAAAGCTCTTAATGTCTTAAATTTGTGGGTTGAATTTTATATGTTCAATATAGGAGGCAAAGGACCAAAGGACCACAGTTTTCCTCAGAATCTTAAAGTTCCACAGGACAGAAAAAGTTTAGAACCACTGCTCTGAGGTCTTAGTATACATCTAAAATATTCACAAGCTAAAACTAGTCTTCCAATTTTTATAAGAATTTCAAACTTCTGAAGTTCCCTATAAAAAGCATATTAAAGTCACAGAAAGAATAGAGTGGGAGGCATAAATAGTCCTCTCATTCTTGGTATGTTTCTGTTCATAATATCAGGTATTACATTTGGCCAGCCAATGACTCATTAAGAACCACACCAATATTAAAATAGACTTCACCGAAAGAAAAAGTGAGGGCTTTTTAACTACATGGTATATATAGTGCCTGAGCCCAAAACAGAATAATCTTCATCATCACCTGCTGGATATACTACCCTCTAGTCAAAGTCTTTAGATTCCCAGTGCTTACCAGAGGAAAGTCTCTGTGCTGCAGGCGTGGGGACCATAACACTAGACTTCTCTGTCTGGTACGAGGCTGTTGCTAATGTGGTACCCTCAGCATCGCTGTTAGTCTGGCCTGTGACTCCAAAGCTGGAGCTGGGATAGCAGGTCTGGTACTGACCCTGGCCAAGGATAGTGTAGGTGGGATAGTCCTGTAGGCCAAAGGGAATGAGAGAGGTAAACAAGACACTTAAAAAGATCGTAACATTAATTTTAGCACAAAGGTCTCATGTACCTCTTATTTATAACTATTTCCCTGAAACATTAATTTAACTTCTCATTTACCTATCTGTCTTCCACCTAAACCAATGACTTTCAAAATTCATTCTGTGCCATTCTGTGGCAATCCAGGAGATG